GGTGAGCAGTGACAAGGAGAGCTCCTCGCTAAGGGCAGCGTGTCGCTGATGCTTCCCATCACCATTCATAACACCTTTGCTGGAGTTGCCCCTCGCATTGAGATCGACATCGCCAGGCACAGAAACTTCGCCACGCCGATGGATTTGATAGTGTCCCACCCCCCGACACACAACACATACACATATGAACACGCGAGCGACCAGTCCCCCCTCCCCCTCTCGCCCCCCCTTACAATTACCCACGTGCGCGCACGCCACCCACCTCTGCGGTCTCCACGATGAGCCCCACCCTGGACCTCTTCTTGGCGTCCGTCAGCCGGTGGTGCACCGCGCCCACGGCCAGCAGCGACGGCACCGCCGCGCGCTCCGCGCTGAACGTGCGGTCGCTCAGCACCAGGAAGGCGCAGCCGGCGTCCACCGCGGCCTCCGCCTGCGCGCAGATGCCCTCCAGGGCGGCGCGCATGCCGGCGGGGCCCTCGGCCACCGGCCACGTGGTGTAGATGACCCGGGAGGCCCAGTCGTTCACGGACACGTTCTTCAAGGCCTCGCACTCCTGGGGTGGGGAGACATGGTGGGCCATGGCGGGTTGTGATGTGGGCCAAGTGAGGTTTTCCAGGATTTCGAAGGGACACTCACAAAGCCGGTGCCTCTTTTCATCTCCCAAAGCTGACGGGGGCATGCTGCAAGGCGCCGTGTCAGGTGCCATTTCTGACGCACAGCACGTAGCTGCCAGCAACGAACCAGCGGCAGGGCGGGTGCCCCGCCCAGCCCACCTCGATGGTGAGGACGGGCTGCTCCAGCTCCAGGCGCCTGGCGTGGGTGGGCAGGCTGGTGGTGATGTCACCCTCGGGGCCCACGAAGCAGCGCAGGCTCGTCACGATGGCCTCGCGGAACGGGTCGATGGCCGGGTTGGTCACCTGGGGGAGGCGGGGTGGCGAGTGGAAGGATGATGCTGATTGACAGGATGCGGGGAATGCCACCAGCTCGACGGCTGAGCAAAAAAAGCTGCTGCAGGCTTTTTGTGGGCGCGAACAGCAGCCAGCCTGGAACGGCACAAGCCTTTGCTGAACTTACCTCATGTCCCTACGACCAATCAACATCCAGCCAGTGGCCCTCACCTGTGCAAAGAGCTGCTTGAAGTACTCGAACGGCTGGCGGGGCCGGCTGCTCATGGCGGTGAGGGCCGCGTCGTTGCCCATAGACCCCAGGGCCTCGGCACCAGTCTTGGCCATGGGCGCCTGAGGGGTGCATGGAGGATTCGGCGCTGCTGTGAGGGCCGTTGCAGACGCAAGCTGCACAGGCGGGCAGACGAGCCGCAGTGTGGGCGTCAAACCCAGCCCATGGCCTCGTGACCCCGCCGCATGCCAAGCCAACGCCTGTTTCTTTGACTCCTGCAAGCCCACTTCTACACCATCTACAAATTAACGCACGATGAGCATCTCCAGGGCCTCGCGGCTGTAGCCAAACGCCTTGAGGGGCTCCAGGAGGGCCATGATGGGCGCAATCTCCTTGTTGGCGGCAGACACCTGGGGCCACAGGAGGGGGGAGGTGCAAGCATAGCAAAGAGTGACTGGTTGCTTGCTATGGTAGGGAGGAGGTATTGACTGGAAATTGATGGCCCAAAACAAGCCCATCACATACGACAGCAGCACCCAGCTGCTTCGGTACCAAGAAGGACGCAACCTATGCCAATCACTTTGCCGTTGCCGTTGCCGTTGGTAGGCAGCGCGCCGACGTGGCCGTTGCCGTTCCCGTTGGCGGTGGACTCCGCGCCGAGTGCCAGCAGGCGCCTCTCGCGCTGCTCTGGGGGCACTGTGGCGAAGATGTCCTCCATGCTGACGGCGGCCTTAACCCACTCGTTGTAGGGCTTGGCCTTGGAGTAGCGCTCCTTGAGCTGCGGGGGTTGCAGGGTGGAAGGGGAGGAAGGCGCGTGTTTCCAAGGCCGAGGGAGAACGCACAGCTCGGGCGCCGAGAGGCTGACACGCGGCGTTCGGCACAGCTGCTCCCACGTGGGCGCTCGCGTCCATGGCAATCCTGCCGAGTCCAAGCACAAGATGCCTGAGCCGCAGCACCTTCCCGAATATAAAAAGGCCTCTCGACGCTTGCTAACACATTTGACAGAATCTCCGCCCCTCCACCACCATCCCACCGCCCTGAAGTCCACACCCCAACATGCGCTCAACAAGGACACACATGATGCCCTGCGTGCACCCACCTCTCTGTCCTCCACCACCCTGTGCTCGTCAAAGTCCACCAGGAAGATGTTGCCGGGCATCAGCCGCCCCTTGCGCACCACGTCCGCAGGGGGGATGTCCACCACCCCCACCTCGGACGCCATCACCACGCGGCCGCCCGATGTGATGTAGTACCGCCCGGGCCGCAGGCCGTTGCGGTCCAGGGTGGCGCCCAGGTAGCGGCCGTCCGTGAAGGTGACCAGGGCGGGGCCGTCCCAGGGCTCCATGATGGCGGCGTGGTAGCGGTAGAAGTCGCGGCGCGACTCGTCCATCAGCTTGTCGTTCTGCCACGCCTCGGGGATCAGCATCATCATCACCTTTGGGTGGGGGTCAGGTGGGGGTTGGGTGTCAGACCAATGAGCCCAGGCCAACAGCAGCAAAGTGCACCCTTAGCACCAGGCGGCAGGCACCCCAGAAGACCGGACAACAGGTGATGATAAGCAAGCTGCTGCCTGCTGCCCGCCCGCACCTCGGCCACGTCGCGGCCGCAGCGCGTGAGCAGCTCCAGCAGGCCGTCCATCGAGCCGCTGTCAGACTGCCAGGCTGGCACGATGGGCGTCAGCTTCTGCAGCGTCTCCTTGTCCAGGCCCAGGCCCTCGCACGCCATCACGCCCTCACGCGAGCGCATCCAGTTCCTGGGGAGAGAGGGGAGGGTGAGCGTTCGGGGATGGGTTGGCTGGCTGCTGCGTGCAGGGGTGAGGCGGGGACCAACGGGAGGAAAGGCAGGGAGCACAAGCTCGATTATGTGTGACATAGGCATGAGGTGCCATGGACACCTGCCATCGCTGCTGCGCTCGATGCAGGTCTGCGACAGCGACATGTGCCCCACCTGTTGCCGCGCAGGGTGTTGATCTCTCCGTTGTGGGCCATGGTGCGCATGGGCTGGGCGCGACCCCAGCTGGGGAAGGTGTTGGTGGAGAAGCGGCTGTGCACGATGGCCATGTACGACCTTCGAGGGGGGCAAAGCCAAGGGGGCAGAGCAGAGGTCAGAAACAATCTGGCGATCGTTGGTGGCTCAGGCTCATGTCACAGACACAGCAGAATGTGCCCGTTCAAGACGCTGCTGAGGACTGCATATGCCAGCAGAGCAGTGCGCCTGCTCCCCATCGCCGCAGCAGACGTAAACTATTGCGTGGTCCCCTGCCCTGAACACACACGCACAAACACAACACGATCACATACAGACACACAATCACACACACACAATCCTAGATGGCGCCCACCTGAACTCGGGGTGCTGCAGGTCCTTGAAGTAGGAGGGCACCTGGGGGGGCAGGGATGAAGGGAGGAGGGTGGCGTTGTGAGGACTCTGCTGCCCCCCCCCCTTGGCTTCGGCCTGCATGCCCACATGCCTGGGAGCCACCAGTCCACACCCCGAACACACACATGCCCCAGCCCTTGACCCCCAACACACCTGAGCGGGCGTGAGCTGCCCCTTGTAGATGATGGTGCGCGAGGACAGGCTGCAGAAGTAGGCGTCATCGTAGCCCAGGCCCTGGGCGGACCACTCCGCTTCAATCAGCTTGCGCAGCACGTAGAGCTGCAGGTCAGAATGAAGGGGAGCAGGGCGTGGGGCAGACTGCATCAGCTTTGCACACGCCTAGTTGCTCAGCATCAACCTTGTGGGCTCGCGGATCGCACAGCACGTGATTGCAGGCGCAGCTGTAGTCTCCCCGGGCGAGTCTTGCCACACAGCGTGGCGGTACCCTCCCTGGCTCCACCCGGCAGCCCACCTGCCCCTCGGCGTCCAGCTGGCGGTGCTTGGCGCCGTCCGCCGTGACAAACCACTGCTCCACGGCGGGCTCCACCTTGACCGCGCTGGCCCCCAGGGAGCGGTTGTCTGTCGGCACGCTGCGCCAGGCCAGCACCTCGTGGCCCAGGTCCGCGGCCACGGCCTCCATCACGCGCTTGGCGATGTCGCGCTGCTGCTGGTCCTTGGGCAGGAACACCTGGCCCACCGCGTACTGCCCCGCGGGCGGCAGGCGCACGCCCGCGGCCTCCATGATGGTCCCGAAAAAGCCGTCGGGCATCGCAGCCAGGATCCCGGCGCCATCGCCTGTTGTGGGGGTGGGGACGTTTTGGTGCAGTCCGGCGTTGGAAAGATGATAAAGGGTTGCACAGCCCTCGCCCAGGCGGGGCAGAGGTTGGGACCCCCGAGCAAGCAGTGGAGTAATATGCAGCTGCCACAGCCGGGCACGAGCTTGGCTGTGCTGACCCGTGCCATCATAAAATGAACACGCATTCACGCTGACGGTGCTGATCGTCGAGGCCGACGGCGTACGTGCTGCGCCGCGCTGCAGTGACCGCGCGTGCGACATCACGGCTGCCCCAGCCCAGCGCAAGCGCACCGGTGTTCTCCTCGCAGCCGCAAGCGCCGCGGTGCGTCATGCGCTCAAGCATCTTGAGCGCATCAGTGACGCAGCGGCGCGATGGCTGCTTCGACAGCTCGCCGACAAAGCCCACGCCTGAAGGGGGGGTGCACAAAAAAGCGCAGGCGACAGCAGAGGCCCGTCGGTTGGCGTCGGTTTAGGAGGCGAGTGCGGGTCTCACAGTGCTGAAACATGCGTCAAGTATATCAGTGTGCGCGTGCCAGCAATGGCGGGCGGCATGCTGGCAGCCCGTGGGGGCGGGTAACGGGCATGTGGGGACGTGCCGCCCAGTGCAGCGGCTCCATGAGCGACAGCTTGACCTTGATTCACAACCCCAGGCCGTACGAGCTTACAGCCCGGCTGACGAATATCGCGTGATACTGATACAGTTTATACGCGCTCGATCATGGACCACGGGGGCCCGTGGCGAGCTGGCAGAGGGTTTGTCGGCACGTGAAGCCAGATCGCGACCCACCGCACGAGTCCTGGTCGTTGTCGGGATCATACAGGCCCTGAGCCGGTGGGATGTCGCTAAAGGCTTCGCAGGGCTGCACAGGGGCTCGCCTCCGACACCACCTAAACGGCGAGCCGGCGAGGCCCCTCCTGGCAGGCAGCAGCGGCCGCGGCAGGGTGCCGTATGCAGCAACGCTGCCATATAGGGCTGGACGAGAGCACGCGGAGCGGGCCTGGCCATTTGGCAGGGCGCCCAGAGCCGTGCCAGGGCGCAAGGCCCTTTGCTGCTGTTGCAGAGCGCGTAGCTCCATCCTCGCGCTGTAGAAGGCGGAGCCTTCTTCACAAGATGGATATGTCGGCATAAACGCGGGCGGTGCCGACCTGGCCCGGCCGCCGAAGGGAGCAGCATTCGGCACTCGATTACTAAGGATATTTTTGGATCCCGGGTGGCGCCTTGATGCAACCACCTAAGATGATCCAGTGCGGCTGTATGGTGCAGGGATCTAGAGGTTTGCTTGACAGCTCATTGGCAAAGTTGTTGGCAAGGCCTGATGCATGGAAATGGCCACAGCCGGTGAGAGTGTGACAGCTGCTGCCATGCAGGACGCCCCTCCCTTTTGCCAGCCAAGCATCAGCTGGCAGCGCATGTGAAGCAGAAGGCTCCTGAGCGCACCGTATGGGTGGCAGTCACCACAACACTAGAGTCGCCGACGGTCTAGGTGGTCCTTGGCAGAGATACAGCAGGGTGCGCTTCGAACCCACCCTGCATACACAAGCTCAGCCACCCTGCTTACCGAAACACGGGCGTCGGACCTACACATCATGGGCATCCGTCCTTTGTGCAGCTCAACTGCAGGCTCGGCAAGCACATGCAGCGAGACAGGCAGCCATTCACTTATGCCGTCCATACCGCCCTCTCAGCCACCGAATCGGCAGCACCCCTGAGTTCCAAACAAAAGAGCGCCCACACCCTGGGGTCGAATTTCAGACAGAATATTGCTAACCAGAACACGGTCAAGTTGATCTGCAGCGCATGAGGGTTGAGTTTGGTGGGGTACCAGTCGTTGCTGTTGAGACAGGGCAACAAAGCCTGCGATGCAGCGCTAGGGTTGGGTGCGTCTCAACCAGCCCACAATCAAATCAGCACGCCCCAGGCAACGACTCTTATGGGGCGCGACCTTGGGGCTCACAGGAGCGAGCCCGTTGCCCACAACAGGTTCACGCATCAATCACTGAGCTCACGGTGAGAGGTGCTGCCAGTCATACACACTCTCACCCGGGCTGTTTCACGGGTGCTGTAAGCTGTTCGTTGTGGGCTGAGCTTCCAGGCTGCGTACATCCGCACACAAGTGCCTCACCGAATCAGTGAACAGTGTGATGGTTGGGACCTCCATGTACTGCCTGGTCGAGCTTGTGAAGGTTATGCATGCAGCCTCCATGTTCCGGAGTCCAGCCCCAACGGGCTTTTGAGCAGCAAGACCAGATTGCGCCCATGGCCAGCATCAGGCCAACCAGACCAGAAAGGCTTGAGTGAACAGAGAGGACAGGCAAGGGTGACAACAGGCAGCTGGGCATTGATGCAATGGGGCATTGCTAAGACACTGCAGCAGCACCTCAGCACCTTGCGGCTGCGTCAGACGGCGCACATGGCGTTTGGGTGCCCTGCAGATATCTACTCAGGAGGGATGGCCTGAGAGGCACGGAAGTTTGCATCGTGACCACGTGTGGTTCTACACTGGGCGAGGGGGCCAAGCGACGGTTTTGCCTCGAGGCCACGTCCTGGTGTCCATGCAGCACTGGCTGCAACACTTTTGCCAGGGATGTACAATACTGCCCTGCAATTCTATTGATGAGAGCAAGACGGGCCAGTGCTAGGAGGGTGATCTATCATCTTGTAAATCCTCTGTCGACAATGTTCGAGGCTCGCGTGCGCGCAAACGGTGCACTTGGGGGTTACAATTGTTGAAGCTATTGCGGGCGGTCACCGGTCAACCAGGAAGGACATGCGTGCACGCTGACCTCAACATGGTTGATGGGGCGCTTTGACAGCGCCAGAACATCGCTAAACTTGCTCTCTCGCCTGTTGTGCATGCAAACATAACCGGACTCTGAGGGAGCCATCGCGCTGTGCACCACACCAGACCACCACAGCACAGCCCCTTGGCTTGTCGCGAGCCTTGGTCAGACATGATCGCCCATGCCCCGTCGAGGTGTTGCGCGCCGCATCAAGCAGTGCTACTGTATGAACATGTTGAACACCTCGCGGGCCTGCCCCTCGATTTCTTCAAACGTAAACTCTTCCCGCAGCTTGCGCTGCGCACGCTTGAAGTCAGACGCAGCCTCTGGGGGAACCTGGTGGGGAGAGTACGGGGTATGAAGAAGAGCGTCAGCGGAGTCCGTCAGAAAACAAGCCGGCATCGCAACTGGCCAGCCCTGCAGAGCAGCAAGCCCGACAGGCACGGGGCCTTGCGAGCTCTCTGAATAGAAAAGTCCCAGGCCGTCGCTTCCCTCGCGCACCTGTATCCCCAGCAGCACATAGGACGTGCTGTTGCCCGTCTGTCGGTAGTGGAAGAGCGTCACGTTCCAGGCCGGGCTGAGCACCTCCAGGAAGTTGCGCAGCGCGCCCGCACGCTCCGGGAACTGGACCTGCGGGGTGCAGGGTTGGTGGGCAGCACAGGGCAAGCCACGCAGAGTGAGGACAGAAGGCAGCAACAGCTCACGGCCAGAGTCAAGGACGTGATGGTCAGCTGCAATGAGCCAACCAACCAAGGTTGCTGGACTCTTCTACAGCCGATAGGCCTGCAGTACAGCCCTTCCCCGCAAGTCCCTGGGCCGCACCATCCCCCCGTCCCTTGCAAAAGTCTACATACCTGGAAGACCCTCTCGAAGGGGATCTCTCCCGTGTAGGCGCGCGCCCTGCCCCCCACCAGGTGGCGCAGGTGGACCTGGCCAGGGCAAGGGGTGGCGGTGACGGGTTGGAGGGGGTGAGGGGCAAGGGCGGAAACAGGTCAGCGGAGGAGTTGGCGGGGGTTTGTGGTGCAATTTTGTAAAAGATGCAATAGCAGCCTTGCGCCATAAAGTACAGAAAGGAACAGCGCCGCCCTTTCGTCACCAGCCCTGTGTATGCCCCTGCGACGCCACAACTTGACGCAACGCATCGTCCCCTCAATTTTCCCAACCCCAACTTGAGCGCCCTCTTGCCTGTGCCGAGTCTATGTTTGAGATATCCAAGGTTGGCATGCCGGCACCGTTGAGCCGCGCCACCAGCGCCCCCGCTGCGGCCTTGTCGGGCACACCCGCACTCCACAAGATGTTAGCCACCTGCACGAAGTGTGGGGATGCGGTTGCAGGCGCCGGCTGGCGTCGACAACATGATTGCAGAGTGCCGGGCTCACCCGACGCACGAAACCAGCTGTCATGCGTGCAAGCCGCAACGCTGTGTGCTTGCGCCCTGCTGCACCCTATGATGCAGTGTCTCGTGCCACAACGGGGGTGGTGCAGCACCACCCCTGTCATCGAGCGTCGGCCCCAAGCAACAAACACAGTGCCCCTGGCCCACACAGGGGGCTCTGTGTGCCCACCTGCCCCGCGCTGTAGCGGTACTTGAACTCTGTCACGCTGACATCAGCACCACCATCAAGAGGGCCGGTGGCTGCGCCCACAAAGTCGCGGAACGACCCGGGCCGCTCAGGGATCTGCGTCGCCATCATCACCTTTGGGG